GTCCCAACGCTGCTGACGGCTGACTCCAGTGGACCATTCTGGGCTTTGAACACTCCTTTTTCGTGTCCCAGATCACTTTGGCCTTACTTTGAAGTGGCCTTTTCCTTAAAAATTGGCTCCACACTACCAGAATTCTCACCGCCCCCAATCATCTCAAACCTTTGACAGCAGGCTCATCCCTCTCCTGTCAAAGTGGCTAAGAGGAGCCCAAAAGTCAAAAATTATTTAGAGAGACTGGAAGCAAATACTTAGCCTCAACTTTCACAGGGCTCTTCACCCTTCAGTGGTTTGTGAGACTGGTTCAGGGAAGGGAGAGCGGCCTCTGCATCTGAGTGAAACAGCCAGGATGGGGTTCTTGGCGGCCCGTTGACACCCGCCGTCTGGGGGCCCCGCCGCAGAGCAGAGGGGACGAATGCCTGTGAGGGAGGTGAGGATGGATGCACGGTGATGCTTCCTGAGCAAGCGGGCTCTGCTCCAGGGCCGTTTCAGATGGTGGGGACAGTTACATGTTGAAATGTGTGGAGTTCACTACAAAGTTCATTACATAACAAGACGACATAGAGAAAGACCAAATTACTCAAGCAGGCATTTTCCAAGGTATTCCTGGAAAGTATTTTTAAGGAAGTGTGTTACTGCCCCTCTGATTTTGAGAGAGGTGTGTGTGGTTTTGGTTTTTTTTTTTTTTGGCGGGGGCGGGGGGTGGCTACATTATTTATTCTCTAACCTCTGCCGGGAGGCTGTGGTCAGGGTCCTTTTGTGGTCCGGGTTTTTGTATCTGGTCTCATGTGCAGTCACTCTTAGGTGTTCTGTGATCACCCTTGAGAGGGACTGGTCTCTGGCCTGTCAGTATTAAATGTGGACTCTGGCGAGGGTCGTGGTGGCAGAGCCAAACACTCACCAGGCGCTCGCGGCATCTCCTGCTTCTATCCTGGCCCTTTGGGCGAACGCCCAGCAGAGCAGTCTTGCTTCCACCCTGCCTCTGCCCGACAGACAGCCCGTGGCTGAGGACCCAGCTTCCAGGGCCTGAGGACAGACGGGAGCCTGGGAGCATCCTGCCCATTTTCCAGGGGAAGTGGCCTTACGTGCATGGGGCTCCAGGTGACATTGCAGCTCTCCTGAGTCCAGGGAAGGTGGCATCTTCTGATGCGCGCATCTCGACTTTGGAGGCTGCTGCCCTCCGAACCCCGGAGGGCCCGACAATCTGGGCAGCCACCCGCGCCCTCCAGTGTCCCACTTCCCTTCTCCACTGGTTGTGCGACTCTTAGAAAATGTCTTAACTCTGATGCAGATCTGCAGAGTCAGCCTCTCCTCACAACAGAGTGGTCTGAGTCTTTTGTACACAGGGTCCTGGGCTTCCTCACCCGTGCCTCCTGCTAACGGGCACTAGTGTGTGTCCAGCCCTGCGGTCCCTTCAGCGACGCTCTGCGTGCACAGATTTCTAGGCTTGTATGACTGACTGAATGTACATGTGTTTATACCTTCTCTGTATGTACAGTGTATATAGCATATGTGTACATAGATGTATATTATGTATACAGACACGTAGCCAGCCTTCCCTTACGTTTTACAGAGAATCTATGGTAGAGTTGCTACAGTCATTGACGTGGGTGTTCCTTGGTCCCTGAGCAGAAGGATGGATTTGCTGGCATTTTCCTTGGGGTGAGCCTGGCTGGGAAAGGCCCCGCCCTCCGCCAGGGCCAGGAAGCTGGAACAATTTAGTTTATCCCAATGTCCGAAACGAGGTGGGGATCTTTAACCTCGTTGTTACCCATCTGTTTATGGCCTAACTGGGAGGACTTTGGTAGGTAGCGGTGTTGGCCTCCCACGTAACCGAGAGCAGGCTGTGTGGTGGGCCCTGGCCCCCGGTGCGGTGGAAACAGCCCACGCGCGCTCTGGGACTCAGCAGACAGGGAGAGCCGCCTCTGACCATCTCTCTACCACAGCTGCAAAACAAGTATTCTTTAAAAATAAGCATGGATGCTGATGGCATATAAATTACAGATCTTTTATTTCTCTAACTGTAGCATGTGAATAAAATTAACCGCCCTTATTCCTTTCTATAAATTATGATTCTAAAATTTTAAAATTTCAGATAAAAACTGCATTCTAGTACAGACGTATACCTTAATGCTACAGATGCCAAATTTCCCTTGTTCAAGTCTGCCCTGATGAATTCTCCTCATTAATCGAGCTTTAAGCTGAGACACCGCACTTGGGAGCCAGGGCCCAGCAATAGTTGCCCACGCACCTGTAAGCAGGAGACCTGAATGGTGGGAAGGTTGAAAGCTGGCCTGCTGAAAGAAATCACCAGATAAGTACGAAAACTCAGACACCACAGGTTACTTTAAAAAAGAAAAATCTAAGCTTATTGAAATGTTTGGAAACAGCTCATTGAGACTACAGTCCTCAGTGCCTTTTGTGAGACGGTGGGTGTGCAGCCTCCGGCTTCCCGTGGCTTTGATGTGACGAAGCTCCTGCTACTTCAGTGGCCTCGCCCACAGTGGTGGTTGGACCTTTCCCACGTCCTTACCTGTCGTGACAATCACACTATAGAAGGGGGCTCTCCAGTTAAAATACAAGTGGAAGCTTGGCAGTCTCTAAATGAATCTTTAGAAGTTCTCCTTGGGGCTATTTACCTTAACTAGTCTAGGAGTAAACTCTCAGTTTTAAGAGTATTTTAGGGGTGAAGAATGTCTGAGATACGCTAGGAAAAAAGGCTCAGCAATATTTATCGATTGACAGACTGTGATAAAGCGTTAACACTCGGGTAACATTTGGAAATGTGTAAAAAATGGCTTTTCTTTAGAGAGAGTGTCATCAATTATTTTAACAACCAGAGCACTCACGGACTCAAATGCTGCTGCCACACACAACTCAAGAGCTGGAGTATTTTTCTACAGTCTCTCCATTCTCCCAGTTATCTTGTGAACCAGTGTTCAACTAGTTTTTTACCTGAAAGCTGCACATTTTTCATAGTACAAACCATAGTTTTTACCTGTAGTTCAGAGCTCTCTGTTAAAATGTACCTGCATTACCAACCCTTTTAAAAGAAGTGTGTTAAAGGAAAATTTGGGTGTTACTTTCTTGGGACCGTTTCTGTAACCTCTGCCCTTCACAATATAGAATATATTGTTTATGCCATCACATTTTAATTCCAGGTTTAAAATCTGTTGAAAGCTGTAGCTTGAAATCAGCTTTGTTTATGTGATGGCATTTAAAAAATAGCATGTTCTTTTTAAACTGAATTTTATATCTAATCAATGTCTTCAGTCTTGAAGAAGAATTTGCATTGTTGTGTTTGTATATAGAGTATTGCAGTGCATGAATTAGCTTTATGCATTTTATTAAATGCTGTTTCAATGTGGCATTATTGTTGTGGCTTAATACTACTACCTAAATGAGGTTTATACTATTAAAGCGAATTAAAAACTAGTAATGTACATCCTGCTTTTCATTTCTCCTCATAATGGTAATAACATCAGTAACCCTGAACCCCAAGTAGTTGGCCAGGAGGCACCTGGTTGCCAGAACGGTACAGCTCTCACCCCTCCGTGTTCGATGGTCTACGGCGTTATAAGTACCTTTGAGGGAAGCGTTGGCGAGGCCCTCTCCTCTGCGTCTTCCAGAAGCCACACACGCCTTTCTGGAACAGAACACAGCCTGTGCTGCCGGATGCACAGACAGACGCGCAGAACCAGGCTTCCTGGAAGGGTGTCTGCTATCCAGGGGGTAAAAAACTACCCTGGCTTGTTTTAACAGGTGAGGATGCTGAGGTCGGATCAAACTCATGGCAGAAACCACTGGCGGCCGGATGATAGCTTTAAATGGCTTTGCCAAGTCAAAATGGAACTCAAACGGGTTATACTTCAGGAGAACAAGGCCAGAGACCATCTAGTGAACACTGCTTATGCAAATTAAACTATATCCATTATAAAAGCCTCATAGCAATCTTCTCTTAGCATTGCTCGTGATTTCTGCACATTTTAAACCCATCTTTTTGTTCCTATTAAAGTAGGAAATGAGAGAATAATGCCTCCAGCAGTGCTGATTCAGTCTGTTACCTGCTGCCTAAGAAACAGCCCAGAACAGCAGCGCCTTCCCGTGAGCTGCTGGACATCATTCTCTCTAGAGAGGGGTCCGCACCTACCTTGATGCCAGGTGGTCCTCCTACTTAGCAGCCGCCTTAGGGCGCCCTTGTGGCCCATGGAGGGAAAGGCTGTTTGCATGAGGCTGTCTCACTGCGCTCTGGAGACCGAGGGGAAGGGAACCCACTCTCTGACATGCCCAGCCGGCCTTCTCCTGAACCACACTCAGCGGGTGTGGTATCAGAAACAGGGCGGGACTGAGACCCCCGCCCCCCGGGACAGGCTTTCCCCTCCAGGGCGGCGGTGGGGGAGGGCGCCGAGGGGTTGAGTTCAGTGAAGCCACCCCAGTCGTAAGCCTGTGGCCATGCAGGAACCTGCCCACTCCTCAGACCCGCACATTTAGACCGTCTCCCTGAAGGCGGGTTTGGTACAAAATCACAGTAAATCATCACCCGAGCATCAAACGTGACGAGCGCCAAACTTCGAGATAAATTTGCAACGTTTATACACAACATCTCGCGGCGCGCTGGGGGCCAGCCCAGGCCCTGTCTCCTGAGGCCTGAAACCAACACGACCAGCGCGCAGGCGGCCTCGGCGTCCAGTGAGGAAGGACTCAGACGGCGCCGGTGGCGTCGCTCCCCTCCCAGAGCGCCGAGCGCGCCCGCGGCGGGCCCGCCTGACCGCGCAGGAGCGGGGCCTGCGGGTCTCGCACAGCCGCGCCCGGAGCTCAGGGGCGTCAGCGAAACGGGCTCGCCCCCCGGGTTCTGAGGAGGCCCCGCCGTCCCGGCCCTGAAGCCCCGTCCCCGCCGAAGGCCCAGGGGCCGGGGTCACGCCGCGCTGCTCGGTGACGGCGCAGGGCGCTCACAGAGCAGCTTGGCTGCAGCCCAACCCCCGCGCAATGTGCTTTCACACACGTGTGTAAACGGGACCCTTTATTGCAAAGCGGTGGTCAGTCTCTCGGGGCACAGAAGCGGGGCTCTCGGGGCCTCAGTCCTGGGCGCCGGCTCTCAGGGCGGCCTGGAACTTGCCGGTCAGCTCCCGGGGCAGCGGCACCACGGCCGGGCAGGGCACCTGGCCCTCCACCTCGCAGATGCACTCCCGCAGGCAGTACTTCCGGGGTCCGAAGTGCGCCGGGTGGGAGAGCTGCTCGCGCTCCTGCTGCTCCCTCCGGAGGGTCTCCCTGCGGACGGCAGAGCGCAGGAGGCGTGGGCGCCGAGCCTGGACCCCGTGCAGTGAGCCCCGCCCCGCGCCCCAGGCCGCGGAGGAGGGCGCGCAGGAAGGCTGCAGGCGAGCGGGCGGGCGGGACAAAGGGGCCTCGGTGCCCCGTGCGCCGGTCAGGACAGCTCTGCCCCCATCCCTCGCTCCGCTCGGAACAAAAGGGACGCGGCACAGCAGGCCTGGGGCCGCTCACCACTAGGTCCCACCTGAGGCCCCAGGAGGGACACGGTCACAGCCACCAGGGCAGGGGTCTCAGAGGTTTCTCAGCCCCCTGCGGACCCAGGAGGAAGGGCCTCCGGCTGCCCTCTCGACACCCCTCCCGACCGCCTGTCTCCTCCGGCCACTGGACCTCCAGAGGTCGCCTGCACCCCTCCAAGGCCAGCCCAGCGACTCACTCGTTCCTCCCCAGGATCTTCTTGACGTGCTCCATGATCTCCTTGTTGCTCTTGGTCTCCACGTCCACGAGCACTTGCTCCCCGGAATCTGGAGCAGGAGGGGAAGGAAACNGGGGGGGGGGGGGCGGCTAAGAAGGCGGCAGGACGCCGCTCAGTCTCCGCTGGTGCTGGACGGGCGCTGTGCTTCAGGGGAGAATTCTAGCAGGAAGGCAGGTGTTTTTACATAACCCACAATGCAGCCTTTTCCCATTTCTGTAGTTGTGAACACAGATGAACTCCAGGTACGTACAAAAGCGTTCATTCTCTTTTAAAGGAAACAACCTCCACGTTCATGGATAGGAAGATTTAATATTGTTAAGATGACAGTCCTAGCCAAGTCAGTCTATGGATTCACTCCATCCCTCTCCAAATCTTAGCAGATGTTTTTGTAGAAGCTGAAAAACTTAGCCTTAAATTCACGCAAAGGACCCAAAATAGCCAAAACAACTCTGACCAACCCGAAAATAGGAAAACATTTCACTTTCCAGGTTCAGTTTTACTGCAGGCTACAGTATGGGCTTGCCAGGTGGCGCAGTGGTAAAGAATTCTCCTGCCAACGCAGGAGACACAAGAGATGGGGGTTCGATTCCTAGGTCAGGAATATCCCCTTGAATAGGAAATGGCAACCTGCTCCAGTATTCTTGCCTGGAAAATTTCATGGGCAGAGGAGCAGGGCGGGCTACACAGCCCCTAGGGTCCCAAAGGGTCGGACATGACTGAGTGTACACACACACACACACCCATAGGCTACATAATCAAGTCAGTGTGGTGTGAGCACAAGAACCAAACTGAGTCCAGAACTAAACATGAAATTTACGGTCTACTTTTCAGCAAAGATGGCAAGACAACTCCATGAGAAAGAACATCTGATAAAAGACCTGTTTTCCGATTAAAGAACTCTTACAAACAATCCAAAGGAAAAATGGGCTTAAATACCTGAATAAACAAAAATAATTAAATGCCTGAATTTAACAAGAAAAATGGATAATAAGCACATGAAAAGATACTCAATATCAGTCATTAGAAAAATACAAAATAAAATCACAGTGAGATATTAAGGTGGCTAATTTTTTTTTTTAAACACAATACCAAGTGTTAGGATGCAGAGTAACACTCAAAACTTTCCGGACTTACTGGTAAAAATGCAAAAATATTACAGCCATGTCAGACAGGTAATTAGGACACACAAAAAAGATTGGAAAGAAGTAAAACTCTCTTTGTAGAAGGAATGATTATGTAGAAAATCTTAAGGAATTTAGCAAATAAAAACTACTAGAAATGTGAATTATCAGGGTTACAAGACACAAGACCCATGTATAAAATCAGCAGTACTTCTATAAGGCTGTGTGATGCTAACCAAAGAACAGAAAAATGAAGCTTTAAAAAATGATGGGAAGAGTTGACTCATTTGAAAAGACCCTGATGCTGGGAAGGATTAGGGGCAGAAAGAGAAGGGGACGACAGGGGATGAGATGGCTGGATGGCATCACCGACTCGATGGACATGAGTTTGGGTGAACTCCGGGAGTTGGTGATGGACAGGGAGGCCTGGCGTGCTCTGGCCCATGGGGTCGCAGAGTCGGACACGACTGAGCAACTGAACTGAATATTTACAGAAAACATACTCAATACTATTAAAATGTCCATTATCCTCAGTGATCTATAATGTAATTTTGATCAAAATCCCAGCAAGCTTTTCCCTAGAAACTGGTAAGCAAATTTTAAAGTTAATATGGAAATGCAAAGAACCTACAAGGGCCAACTTTAATCTTGGGGGAGAAAGAAAGGGCGGGGGGGCAAAGTTGGACGTACACTACCTTCTCTTAACACAGATTTTAAACAGACAAAAACCAGTACGGTGTGCTATTAGCGTGAGGACAGATACAGATCAGTTAAAGAGGATGAAGAGTCAGAAACTCGAACAGCCAAAACAATCTTAAAGAAAAACAGCTCAAGGAATCATGCTCTCTGACTTGAGACTACACCAGAAAGCTGCGGCATTCCAAACTGCAAGATACTGGCACAAAAGCAGACACAGATGAGTGGAGCACAGAAGGGACACCAGAAACGCAGCTGCACAAACCACCACCAAGGACGCGCGAGCGCACAACGGAGAAGAGACGCTCCCTGCATGAGCGGCGCCGAGACGCTGGAGAGCGGCGGGCAGGAGAGTGAAATCAGAACGCTTTCTAACACCATCTACAGAGATAAACTCAACATGCATCAAAGGCCTAAGACCAGCTACCACAAGATTCCTAAAAGAAATAAATATGAAATAAATGTCAGCAGTATTTTCTTTCTTTTTTTGATCTGCTAAAACAAAGCAAAAATAAACAAATGGGGAACCTCTTTGGTGGTCCAGAGGTTAAGAATCTGCCTTGCAAGTCAGGGGCCGTGGATCTGATCCCTGGCTGAGGAACTAAGATCCCTGCGGCGTGCTGCGGAACAACTAAGCCCGAGTACCGCAACCGCAGAGCCTGCGTGCTGCAGCTGAGAGCCGATGTAGCCGAGCACATACATACTTGTTTAAAAACTAACAACACGTGAGTTTGAGCAGGCTCCGGGAGTTGGTCATGGACAGGGAAGCCTGGCGTGCAGCAGTCCATGGGGTCACAAAGAGTCGGACACGCCTGAGCGACTGAACTGAACTGAACAACAAATGGGACCTAGTTGAACTTAAAAGCTTTGGACCCAGCAAACCAGAAAACAAAAAGACAAGCTATAACGTAGTGACAAATGATACGATAATGGGTTAACATCCAACATATATATACAGTTCACACAACTTGGTATCAAAAATGAAAGCTGTAAAAAAATGGGCAGAAGAACTGACATCTTTCCAAAAGGAAATGCATATGACCAACAGGAACAGAGAAAGATTCTAAGACAATCTCCAGGGAAATGCTAATCAGAACCACAATTAAGATATCACCTCCCATTTGTCAGAGTGGCTATCATCAGAGAGACCCCATGTCCAAGAGTTGGCAAGGATGTGAGAAAATGATGTGAGCCACTGACTGTGGCTCAGATCATGAACTCCTTATTGCAAAATTCAGACTTAAATTGAAGACAGTAGGGCAAAGCCACTAGACCATTGTGTATTAAGCCCTTATGATTTCCCTTATGATTATAGACTGGAGGTGATGAGTAGATTCAAGGGATTAGCTCTGGGAGAACTATGAATGGAGGCTCGTAACACTGTACAAGGAGGCAGTGATCAAACACATCCCCAAGAAAAAGAAATGCAAGAAGGCAAAGTGGCTGTCTGAGGAGACCTTAGAAATAGCTGAGAAAAGAGAAGCAAAAGGCAAAGGAGAAAGGTAACGGTATACCCAACTGAATGCAGAGTTCCAAAGAATACCAAGGGGAGATAAGAAAAATGCGAAGAAATAGACAAAAACAATGGACAGGGAAAGACTAGAGATCTCCAAGAAAATTGAAGATAGCAAGGCAATGTTTCATGCAAAGATGGGCACGATAAAGGACAGGAATGGTAAGGACCTAACAGAAGCAGAAGAGATTAAGAAGAGGTGGCAAGAATCCACAGAAGAACTGTACAAAAAAGGTCTTCATGACCCGGATAACCACAACGGCATGATCTCTCACCTAGAGTCAGACATCCTGGACTGTGAAGTCAAGTAGGCCTTAGGAAACATCTTTGTTTACTAGTGGAAGTGATGGAATTCTAACTGAGCTATTTAAAAAGACAATGCTGTTAAAGTGCTGCATCTAATATGCCAGCAAATTTGGAAACTCAGCAGTGGCCGCAAGACTGGAAAATATCAGTTTTCATTCCAATCCCAGAGAAGTACAAAGCCAAAGAATGTTCAAACTACTATACAATCATGCTCATTTCACACACTAGCAAGATAATGCGCAAAATCATTCAAGCTAGAGTTCAACAAATATGTGAACCAAGAACTTCAAGCTGTGAACCAAGATGTATAAGCTAGATTTAGAAAAGGAAGAGGAAGCAGAGACCAAATGACCAACATACATTGGATCATAGAGAAAGCAAGAGAATTAAAAAAAAAAAATCTACTTCTGTTTCATTGACTATGCTAAAGCCTTTGACTGTGTGGATCACAACAAACTGTGGAAAATTCTTCAAGAGATGGGAATGCCAGACCACCTTACCTGCCTCCTGAGAGACCTGTATGCAGGACAAGAAGCAACAGTTAGAACTGGACATGGAATGGACCAGTTCAAAACTGGGAAAGGAGTACGTTCTAGGCTGTATATTGTCACCCTTCTTATTTAACTTATATGAAGAGTATATCATGCGAAATGACAGGCTGGATGAATCACACGCTGGAATTCAGTCCGTTCAGTCACTCAGTCATGTCTGACTCTGCGACCCCATGAATCGCAGCACGCCAGGCCTCCCTGTCCATCACCAACTCCTGGAGTTTACCCAAACTCATGTCCATCGAGTCTGTGATGCCATTCAGCCATCTCATCCTCTGTCGTTCCCTTCTCCTCCTGCCCCCAATCCCTCCCAGCATCAGGGTCTTTTCCAATGAGTCAACTCTTCGCATGAGGTGGCCAAAGTACTGGAGTTTCAGCTTCAGCATCAGTCCTTCCAATGAACACCCAGGACTGA